AAAAAAGCGACACTGTCTTTTGTAAAGTTCTATTGAGCACTTATGAAAACCATCAAGTTCATCATCAGTTGTGTCACTTTCGGGATCTGTACATTCGAATAAAAACAAGTCTTTGTCGTCGTGCTCGTTGTTGTAATCATCATCATCATTGTCGTCGTCGTCGTCGAACGTATGCTTTAATATTCGGTCGTCGCCAATAATAGGCTCTTCATTGCCTTCAACATCATTGGTCTCGACATTTAGAGACACTTGTACAGAAACCTAAACGAAAATCAACATTTTTATTCTATACTAATGATTTATTCTTTTTCAAAGACTAAAAACAAAAACGAAAACATTACTTACATGATTTCGAATAGTGATATCCAATTGTAATGGATCACACATTGGTATTATGATATCGGGAAATATGGCCGGCCAATGAATTTCAAAATCTTCAATATTATTACCTTCTCGATCTATATAATATGAAAAATAACAAAATAGAAATAGAAATAGAAATCAAAACATGAACTCACCAAGACCGAGAGTATTTGTCACTCGATACACTGGTTGTGTACCAAGGAGCCCTATCCATATGACTGGGCTCACATCTTCATGTCCATCGTCGAGATAATCGACAAGTCTTGGTGCGATTCTTCGACCATTTCTATGGCATTTGTAACTTTCATTCTCTAAAATAAATCATATAGTTTTATGCTGTACAATCTATCTAATCCTACCGTTAATAACATATTCGTTTGGATGTAAAAAAGAAGGCATTGATTTGTTGTTGATAAATCTGAAATCTAAAAATAGACAAAAAAGAAATCAAATGAAATTAGTTCAGAAAAAAACCGAAAACGAACCAAAACTTACATAGAATTAAAAGAATATAACTTGAATAGCAGCGTTGAATTTAGAAGATAGTGTGTGTGTGTGTGTGTGTGTGTTCTTGTCGTTGTTTTTTTTGTAAATGAACAGACAAGCGATAAAAATAATTATGAACAACGATCAGTATCATCCATCATATTTGACTTTCTTCATGTGATATACAGGAGATAATAATTTTCTTCATTGTCAACTGTTAAGTGGTAGTTCGATCGATTCTAATCCATCAAAATTATAAAAACCGATTCTAATCCATCAAAATTTTAAAAATCGATTCTAATCAATCACAATTTAAGTGGGTAGATTCATAAAGAACACTTCATCAATCGGTTATTCTCTTCAATCTATGAATTACTCTCTTTCTCTATTTCACACCATCGATACATGTATTTTTTTATATAAATAATTGCTTTTCATCAACGATTAAATTGATCCAAATTATCTTCTTCACTTATAAAAAATCTCTCTCTTACAATTCTATTCTTTTTTCTCTCTCTTAATTTTAATCGCCTCGTTAGCGTATAAATAGCCGATGATCTCCAGCAAAAACATATCATTTTCTTCGTCATCATTGAAGTCTATCGATTGTTACTGAAGATTTATTTTCAACTGATTATTATTACAATAATTTGCTATGTATTCCTTTAAATTATATGATTATTATTTTTTTGTAATGGTATTCACCTGTCATATATTGTGCATATCAACTGCTATTGGTATGAATCAATCTCTTAATGTCTCTCATAAGCAACTAGAACAACAACTTCTAACAAGACATCGAAGGTTTTTTTGGCGCTCAATTATTGACGTCAGCCGACGTGACAAGCATTACAAAACTAAGGATAATAGTCCGATAATAATTGCTGAAGGTCAATCAGCTCCAGTGGACGGAGCAAACAAATTATTACAAACTGTTCAACAACAAGCACATCGTACAGTCGAAGGTGTTACAGATGCGGTATTGGCGCCTTTTCAATGGATTTCACATATGACTTCTTACTGGTAAGTTTATTTCTTTATTTTATTTTCTTGTTGATATTATTTATTCATAGGCCACTCTATATAATATGTATTACCATTATATTCGGGTTAATTGGCTATTTTTATTGTTCATGTCGAAATGGAGGAGGAAGAAATATGTTTCCTAATACAAATTATCTTCCATTACCATTCTACAATCCTCTTCTACAACAGCAACAACAACAACAGCAACAACAACAACAACTTCAATTACCACCAGAAAAACAACAACAACATATGTTACATTTAACACATTAATTCAAAGTAACAATAGACTCATCGACATCGATTCTTATTTGGTTTATTTAGATGTTATTTTATTCTACATAGTACTACTACTATTACTACTAACATTTATCATTTAATTCTCTAACATCATTCTTATTTCATTTACATTTCATATTCACTTATTTAACATACTTTTTCTTTTTATTCTAAATATACATTGTAGATATCATGTCCAAACTTAATTCAGCACAAATTGCCATCGATGAAACGCATACGAATTATAACAATATCCATATCAAACCATCGAAGACACCAGTACTCGTTCTCTCTGGTTCAGACAATCAGGGAGTGGTACTCAGTGATGCACAATTCGACATAACTAACATCTCTCATCGACCCATGTACTTTTATCTTAATCAACATTCTTTTCTTTTTTATTTTATGTCAGTAGTTGCCATCTTTGCTATTGTGATCTTAACAATCATCGTGTCATTTGTCTGTTATCAGAAGAGAAAACAATCAAGACTACGACAACAAAAACAATGCCAACATCTTAGACAAGTGAACGATAATCAACAGAAAATTCACACTATAAATAGAAAAATACTTGATGATACGATAAGTATGTTTGATAATTAGATTTAATTATTCATATATGTATATAAATTTTCTATTCTCTTCAGATACATCAACACAGAACTGTGATTATATTAACAATAAACATTTCTTAACACGAGAAAAACTACAACAAGACGATTATCAACAAAAAACAAAGTTATTACTTAATGACACTTTTAATAAAACACAAATCGTAGAAGTACAAGAAGACAAAGAAGGAGAACAAGAAGAAGAACCAAATTTTTCAATAGATATGACAAACAATGACATTACTACTTTATTAGAAGCAGATGAAGTAAGAATAGAATAATAATTATAATTCATTTAATTTAATTTTGTACTATATGTAGACGTCAACAATTAGATCATGTCCAGATTTTTATCAGAGCCAAACATCGATAAATATTTATGATCAACCACCAGTACATTCAATTAGTCAATGGGCAAATGATGAACTATTAAAATATATGAAAATATAAACATTATAACTATTAGAATTAACATTATGTTTATCGACGATTCTATTTCTCTTGTCTTTATATGGAATAAAATATTATAAAAATTATTTCAATATATTTTAGATATTCCTAAATCTTTTCTACTACGATGAATAATATCTTGTCATGGTTCTTTCCAACAACGCCGTCACCTAGAACATTAGTTATTGATCTTCCAACAATGCGTCCAACTTTTACAACAAGACAATTTTCCACAACATTCTTTACGACATTAATGTTAAATTCTTTTAAACAAAATGATACTGATCATCATTTTACAATTCCTGAAACCGATCTATTCAATACTTCAACAACAACAACAACAACAACAACAACAACAACGACGACGACTACTACTAGTAGTACTACGAGTACTATGAGTGTAGCCACGAATATTAGCACAACTATGATTCCATCGAATGTCATAAACTATACAGATCATTATTGTTCAAATTCCACACATATATATCAAAGTTTTATAATAGAATTTATCAAACAATATCAAAGAGATTTTTATTGGATTTTAATTCTCCTCTTTACCTTTTTATGCATTGGTATCATTTGGAACATCATTGTTATTAAAATAGTCCACTATTATTCATCCAATCAGTTTTCGAAAGGTTAGTGATTTTTCCTTCTCTCTCTCTCTCTGCCTCTCTTTCATATCTCCTGTTGTTAGATAGTCTATCAGAAAAGTAATTTATCTATATGTTCATCTATTATTTTCAGATCAAACATGTTGTTCTTACGTAAATGTACCTCAATATCACGATGATATAAACGAAGACAAAATGAATCAACTTTATGATAATGTTCATCATCATCACAATAATAATAATAATAATAATCATATGGCAAAGACAAATGAAAAGGTTTACTCATAATAACTTTTCTTCATTATATATACATTACATTGATTGTTATTTTTTTATTATAAAAATTTTTAGTTGATGTTTACTAATGATTATTTAATTCTTGAACTTCACAATAATGCTAATTCAATCTTAAATCCATGTTCTACTTTTGTTTAATATTTACCGGCATCTTCTCCCAAATATTCTCTGTCTATACATATATAAAAGATAAGTTTGACATTAAAGCAACATTTTTCTTTCATTATTCTTTTTGTTTTCTTGTTTTAATACGAAATATAGAAAGTTCCACTGAATAGTTTTTATGTTTAGTGTTATTTGCCATCGTATCTTCTTCTTCTTCTTCTTCTTTATCATTCTTTTTTGTCTTTTAGATCATTTTTTTTCTATTTGGATTTCGATATCAATGATGAACTCTATATGTGCACTTCAAAACGGTACTCGCATTATAACATTTAAAATTATTGATGTAATTTTTTCAAACAATCATGCGTCATACTTTACTTTGCGTTTGAATGAACTCAAACTAGATTCATCCAATTTTTCTTTAACTAAGTAAGATTTATTTATAAATCATTTTCATTAAGTATTCTCTGTAAGTTTCTAGTATGTCGTCTACGGTAAACATGGTTACGATCACGATACCATCTGCTATTTTTCGTTTTTATTCAACAAACTTAGACACAAATATCGATCCAATCTTGAACACTGTTGTCAATCAGCATAAACAAACGATTCTTATTAGTGTTATATTTATGTTATCTTTTCTATTGATATTAATTTTTGGAATAAGAAAATTACTGAATAGGGTACAAAAAAAAAGCTCCGCTGCATCACTGTTCGCAGAACTTCAAACAAAACATTATTTACATGACAATATTAGTATCAAAGATATTGAATTAAATTTTGAGAATGTCAAAGATCAACATGATGATGATGATGATGATAATAAATAACAAACAAAACAAAAAAGTGAGTGAAATAGACAAGCAAAAGAAAAGAAAATGCCGTATTTTGACAATTTCTAGGTTAGCATCAAGTTCTATGGATATCATTTTTTTTTGTTTTTCATATGCTCATAATCAACATTCATCTTTAGCTTAATGATATTTTTACATTATAGAAATATAGTTCTATAGTTCTGTTCATTTCTTTAAATTTAATTCTAGATTTAATTTTGTTTTTCGTTTTCAATCATTTTATTATTCAATCAACCGTCATAGCTTAGAACTCATATTACATATTAAATTCAATCGGTAATGTTCAAAACACTACTAACAGAACCTATTATCGACGGTGGCGCAGATTATGATAGAAAATGGCTAACACTGTCAAGCCCACTCGTAACAACACGATCAAAAATATTAAATGAACTACTTTCTGATCAACCAAAAAAAAACATACTTGATAAGATTATTTGTTGGGACAATGCGATACTATTAATAATAGCAGTTCTACTATTACTATTGTTGATTTGTGTAGAATCGATTCTTTACAATGCATTCTACGGAAATGAGAATGATCGACATGACAAAGATGACAATCAATATTATCAACACACTGATATCATGGTTTGTCCTTAGAAACATTTATTATTCTTATTATTGAATTGTTTCACTCAAATTTAGACAACAATATCTACTGGTGCTGATCAATTAAATTCAGCTGCTTGTCAAACGGTTTCGTTAAATTTATATCCACCAAGTTATATTGATCTGTATCCTAATACATAATTCTAATAATTAAATAGGATTTCTTTTTATTAGAATCGTAGTTGATTAAATACATTAAATTAGTCGAATCCTTTTTTTTTCAATATTATTTATTGTTATTTTAGATTTAAATCATCTTTCTCTCAAGATTTTCTTTCGTCTTATATTCAACAGATATTTCACATGCAACGACCAACGACATTTCCATCGATGGAGTTCAATAACGAACGCGATCCATTCGATGATCATCCGTTATTCACACCTGATTTAGAATATTTTACTCCGCCAACAATGTTACCATTGATAGATGATAATAGAAATGCTTATTGTCCACGTACATTAACACCATACAATATAGAACGACATACAATCTTACCAGTTTTTCCTCCATGTTTATCAGTGACAGAAAATACAATCGCAAATGACGCTTCATCGATAACACAAGAACTTCAACCACCATTACTTCTATGTAATGTTCCAAGTATGAACAAAAAATTCTCTTTTTTCTCGTAATATGTTCGTTTTTAGAACAACAACTAAGTCAACTGCAATTAGTTCGTCGTACATCGAATATATATCTTTCATCATATGAATTTTTTGAAAAAAATCTTGAAATGATCGATTCTATGAACGATTCTTTTCTAGTTGCTATCTATCGACAATTATTATATGATTTATCAATAAAATGGCAGATTAGTATTCCATTGTTAGATTATAATCTTGCACGACTTAATAAATGTACAAGAAAATGTCTCGAACATTGGCAACAACAACAACGACAAGACCATTTACAATTACTTCCACGTATACCTACAACAGCAACATTTACAATTGAAGAATTACCATCCGTTTTAGAATTCTATTTACAAATCGATGGTCAGTTTCTCTCTCTTTCTTTCTAATATATATATATAACGAAGATGAGAAAAAATATTTATTTATTGATTTACTTTATAGTTGATTTATTTTATTTAAAAACATGTTCTTTTCGACAAGCAGAACCTATTGAAAATATGATTTTCTGTTCCAAACCACCTGAAATTCATTACTGTTTAACAGCATGTAATAAATTTAATTGTTCTTGTTGTCATCCATTGCATGCTCGTATATATCCTGGACAGAGCGAAGCCATTCAATTCAATATAAAACAAAAGTATCAATTTGTCAATGGTTATCAAACGATTTTGAATTGTCCTGCAGTAAGTTTGATTGTAATTTAATTCGATTTCTTTAGCATAGTAATAGACTTGTGAAACGTCAAATATTATCTATGTATTAACTTGTCCTTGTCAACAATTCGATTATGTTGGTGTCACAAATATGTCATTTCGAGATTGTCTAGCAAGTAATCGATTTTTATTCTTTTCAATGAAAATAAAAACAATAACAGAACAAATCATAATGCTTTGATTTCAGTGCATCGTAATGAAAGTAATCGAATTCTACGAGAATTTATTCTTGGACCCACAACAACGAGTCGTATTCTTCAAGGCATTAAATCAGAAAAGTAAATTTATTGTCAAAAAGCGCATGATAGAACTTAAATTATAATTCTATCGTTATATTATCTATATTTCAGAGCAAGACGAAACGATGGAATGCGATTATATCAACATACAAGCCGATGTCCACAAGCGATACAACTATTTCTTGATGCTAATCCTGATTATTGGTGTTTAGTGCCCATGACTGAAGAAAAAATAGAAATAAACAATTCTGTCACTTACAGAAGTACATCTATGCAGTTAACATCAACACGTCCTGAAAATGATGCTAAATATTTAGTTGAGAATTTACCAGTTCCACCAGAATTATTTCATTTTACTGATCGTCAACAATATGAACAGATCTGTTTTTTTCAAGAAATGAAAGATGAACTTTTACATCCTCGATTAGACAAAAATGTTGATTTATACAATGCTACTATTGTTGCTGTGTGTATGTATATCTCTTAACGGTTAACTTTTCTCTCGATTTTATTTCTTTTTTATTTGTAGTACCAGAAAATTGTTCAGAAATGTTTCAACAATTAATTCTCTCCTTATTTATTACACATGCCGATTGTCAATTAAATAAGAGTGGTCGATTGATCACTGACATCAATTTTCATCCGTATCCTGTTCGTCGTAATTGGTGTGCAGGCTTATGTCGTCGTCCATTATTAGTCTAAACTTTTAAACTTAATTTTAATTTTTTTTTAATCATTTCATTTATACTCCAATCCTATTATTGAATATATATATATATGGCATAGTTCATTTGTAGATTATTGCCATCCATGTATATGAATCGATCACTACGAACTATGACAAAGAAATTGAATTGTTCTATGGGTGAGTTACATGTTTTTTTCTTCTTCTTCTTCTTCTAAACAGATTATTATTTTAGTCTTGTGAAACAAGAAATCTCGGTATTGTAGTGAACAATAACGATAATAATAATTCTAATGGAATAAATCAAACAAAAATTATCAATCTCATGATATTTCCATTTCTTTTCTTTTCTTATTTGCAATTGTACCATACATAAATCTATTTTCTAACATATATCAATTTTATTTTTGTTTCTCATTTAAGATTGTTCTAAATTCATTCGGATAAAATGGATCAAATCAATCAAGCAGTTGATATTATTGTACAATATATCGGTGGTAACCATCGTCAACATCAAGATGACACTGTGGAGATGACAAGGATACCACAAGAGCATACACCATCAAAACGTCCAGTCTATATCGTTCGACAACGAGATATTACAAAGATTCAAACCTACTTTCGTAATAAAAATTGGTTGTTATTACCATCATGTACCATTGCTGATACCATGTACTTATGTGATCAAGTGGAATACACTCAAAAAGTGACTAAACATTTACAAGAAACACAAGCATATAAAATAGTCAAACGTCTTCAATCATTCAATGGAGATGATGGACAAAGTTATTTGAATGGTATCAAAGAGCGAATACAATGGGAATTAACAAATCTATTAAATAAACAATCTATTACTATCGAACAATATCAACAGATGATCTATAACAATGAAGATGATGACGTTCAAATGAATTCCATTACATTTCTACCTGATACACGTGCGGTAAGTTCTTCTCTATATAAAAAAATATTTATTATATATTAATAACAACAAATTTCTATTATATTTCTTTCCTTTTTTTTGTTTTTGCGTAACATAAAAGGGAGTAGTGGTATCATTTCGACCACAAATGAACCATGCTACTCGACCCACTGTTCACATTACTCGATATCTACATGGTTTTCTTCAAACAATATATGACAAAGCGGCGTGTTTGACTACTTTTCACAATGGCATTAATGTCATAGAAGCAATGGAAATTTATGCTAAAAATGGTTCTCTCCAACATGGGACACGATTTGTCACAATTACAATAGAAGACTGTGAATATCTTTTCACTCATGAACAACTATTGGAAAAATTGGAAAATTTTCTTCATGATTATGTTTCTCCTCAATATAAACGAGTATTATCTCATGAAACTATTCTTTCATTAGTACGTCTGGTACTTGAAACACAATATTTCGTCTATGATAATAAATTATATCAACAGATAAAAGGTGGCGTTTCAGGTATACCATTGATAAAACTATTAATCAATATTTACTTATTCTATTGGGAACAACAATTAATACAATGTTTATATAAAAGAAAAGAAGTATTTGGCAGGTAAGTTTATCATGAATATTGTCTTGTTGTTCGTCTTACTCATTATATTGTTATTTTAGATCGTTTAATAAAATGTTTTTTACTTGGAATGAGTCAAAACAGAAACTGTGTAGTATGCTGGAAGTAATCAAACGAAAATATGTCCATTTACCTATTCATCTATCAACAGGATCATCAATAAATTACCTTGATATAGAAATTTCTCAAGAAAATAGTATTCTTCAAACAAAAATCTGTCGATCTTGTCTTACTGAACTATATACATGGCCATATGTAATCAATTATCCATTAGAACAATATATGGCAATGATCCGTGCTATTCTCATACGTGCTATTCAGTCTTGTACAAATATACGAGAATTTCGTGATGAATACATGTTGGTACACTCTATTTGTTTATTCAATCGATTCCCTTCGGATTTTATCACTTCGTGTAATCATCAATTTTTCCAAGAATTCAATCCATCAAAAAAGGATTATAATTACAATCAAATAAGTTATGCACATCTTCGTCAACAAATCAATATGAAATTTAAATTAGCACGATTATCGTTGAGTAATTCAGTAAGATCTTGAAATTTATCTATTACAAACATTGAATTTGTTTTTTAATACTTATTTTATTTACGTTATCCTCGTGTTTTTTTTCTTCTTCTTCTTCTTCTTCATAGTTAACTCGAATAGAATCTTTTCATCTCAATTTTAGATAAGTAAGGTTTTCGTGTGTCTTCAAACATACAGATTGTCAGCAATGAATCGATCATATCGTTCTTTATCTTCCCATTGTCATCGTCAATTACACCGATCTCAACGAAATCAATCATCATCACCACCACCACCACCACCACCCGAACCACCATATGCACTACAACAACAATCTTATCGTGCTAGTTGTCTACGAGCAGAATTAGCAGCTGATGATGCTTTAATTCAAGAAATTCAAATACTTATTCATCGTTTTCTTATACGTCATAGTCGCCGACTTCCTTACCATATGGTTATCAATTGTTCCGACAATGGAGAAACCATTCCAGACTATATCATTATGCTTAAAATTGATCGATCATCGTCATCATCATTAGGACATGATTGACAATAATAAAATATAGCTAAATCAAGGATTTATTAAATATTTAGAAAATAGTTCATAGATTAAGATGTTCTTATTCTTTCTTTCTTTCATGTCGTTTTAGATATAACACAATGAGTGAATTTATTTATGACTCTATGTTTATTATCGTACGAATGGGTGGTGAATTAAGTAATAATCCAAATCAACAAGAAATACCAATGATGCGTTTAATACCATTTCAACATGATGCAAACATATTATATTCTATTCAACGTCAAGACTTACAAAATTTTCAAAACACATTAAAACAAAATAATTGCCGTGTTATGAGAGCTTATCGACATAATATTATGTTTGTTGCTCACGAATCTATCGTAGCTGAAAAAGTATATGATTATATGTTACGAACAAAAGCTTATATTAGTATAGCAGATATAGATCAAAGAAATTCAAGAAGAACAACAGTCCGACAACTACTTGATACGATGGTTGAGAAAAGTAAATGTTTATTAAAAAATCTACATGATTGCCAATGGATAACATCATTTCAATATGAACAAATGAAAGTTGAACGTTTCTCCGTACGATTAGATTATCTCTTTTTTGTACCGGATTTACATGAACAACAAGATCACATTACATATGAACCATTAACAATCTCTTCTCTAAGCCCATTGATGCCTTTATCTCGTTATTTAAATCGTCTTCTTGAACCAATTTATTACAATCACATAGCTCGTTCGACCACGGTCTATAAAGGTGCTGATATTGTTAAACAATTAGAAAATTATCAACAACAAGGTTATTTAAAATCGACAACATTATTTGTTACGATTCATTTTAAAGATCTACATACATCCATTAAACATGAAAGATTACTCTCGACATTGCAAGATTTTCTTCAAGATTATATTACTGATGAACAACGTATTCAAGGTATGAAAATTCCTGCTATATTAGAATTAACAAGATTTATTCTTCAAAATCAATATTTTATCTATAAAAATGATATTCTCTATCGACAAATCTTAGGAGGTAGTACAGGTTTATATATTATTGATCTTTTAATTAATATTTATCTATTCTATTGGCAACGTTGTCTAATAATAAATGAAGGAAATGATTATGAAATTTTTGGTCGCTGTTTTAATGATATATTCTTGACATGGAATGAATCTGAAGAGAAACTACAACAATTATTAAAACTAATGAAAATAAAAGATACATCTCTTCAATGGGATTTTCGTGTACAAACACATGAAATTCATTTTCTTGATGCACAAATTCATTATTGTCATCGCACTCAACATCTTCAAACAAGTGTTTATCATGATTGGAAATATGAACCATATATATTACCAAAATTACATAATGCAAAGTCTTTATCACATGCCAATACTCTTCATACGGCTCTTATTCGTGCTATACTCTGTTGTTCGCGACTAGAAGATTTCGATAATGAAAAGCAATATATTGAATATTCATTTTTATTTCATAAATTCTCATCGGATTTTATTCAACAACAAATGGAAGGCTTTTTTCAACTCTTTAATGCAAGTGATTTTAGTATCTACCATGAACAAACAATGTATGATGAATTACGTCGACGGGTTCGTCAATATGATCAAGAAAAAACACAAGAAACATATGAACGTCTTGAAAATGAACAAAAACAATGTATTTGGTATATTAATTCGAAATTAAAAGGCTTTTCTCTACTTAAAGCAAAACAAAATCCTGCTCACTTTCTACCAACATCTTATCTTTACAATTCACATGTATCAGATGTTATAATTAAAGTTGTTGGTGTACCTTATTATCCATCAAATACGATCTAATCATGCTATTAATTCTTTAGAAGAAGAAGAAGAAGAAAAAAAGAAACTATAATTATTTAATAGATTTTCTTGCTTTTTTTTGTTTCTTTTCTCATTTTAGATTGTTTTTCTTTGTTCTTGGCGATTATTTTACTAACTAAGATACAATAATGGAAAAACTTAATGATTCTCATATATTTTATCCATTGGATTTACAAATATTTCATCAACAATACTGTGAACAACGACAACAACATAAGAAGTCTTCAGAACCACAGTTAACTCTGGATCATCAATTACATGTTATGGCATTGGACGAATTTGATTCTATTATAGAAGATCTTAATCACGATGTTCAACATGAAGATACATCTAAAGATGAGAAGACAAATGACAAAGAAGCAGAAGAAGAAGAAGACGAAGAATATCAAAAAGCAAAATGGAATCAATTGCTTAAAAGTTATCAACAACATCTTCAATTATTAGAACAATGGAAGAATATTCATACATAAGTTTATCTCTCTCTCTCTCTCTGCCATTTTCATTTTAATCTGCGTTTATCTTATTTGATTCATATTAAATAGTTTCAATTGTGATTTTGCTGTTTTTATCTTTTCTTTGTTTTTTTTTGTAGATCTGAATTTTTCTACGACAAAATCAAGTCAATCACGTTTTATCTTGCTACCATTTCTTCATGGCAGAATCTAACCGTAATTCACCATTTGATGAAATAGATGGATTATTCAGTGATGAAGAATTTTGTCAACAAATAGATGCATGGTTCAATGATGCAAGTAAATATAGAAAGTCTTGATTGTATTACATAGATTACTGATTTCTTCTAGTCTTAGACAATGTCAGCCATACGTCACCATTAAATACGGCATTTGTAAATGTAAATAATGTTTTGATTCTTCTTCTTCTTCTTCTTCTTCTTCTACTTCTTCTTATCCATTTTAAACATAGGAGACCATTGTCACTGAACAGAGTAGTCTCGATTTATCCTCACGAATAGTAACGAACACCGCCGATGATCTTCACATAATGGATCTCTCGACACCGTCATCATCATCATCATCGAAAACAATTGATCTATGTTCAACAGACCTATCATCAAATGCAAGTCGGACAACTATCAACCCATCGGTACATTTAACACCGAAATAAATCCTACTTTTGTTTTACCTTAAATCTATCACGTAACTTCTAGTATATTTATTTATTTTATCCATTTATATCTATTCAATTCATTTTCTTCGTATTATTTAGTGTTTTTTTTTGCTTTCTTTCATTGTAGATAAGATTCTTCTTTTGTTTTATTCGTGAAACTATGATTACCATCGTTTATCATGATGTTAATATTACTCTCTATCGAATACCTCTCTATGGGAATGAAACAAGTATTTTTTCTATACATAATAGACCTGATCCTCAATCATTACAATTTGTTATTGATGCTTTCAATTATACAACAATCAAAAATAATACAATGTTACCAATTGTTACCTCTAACATTACTCCTACAATACAGCAATGTCAAATACAAAATTTATCTCTTATCATTTGTCTGACAATTATATTCATGTTCATATTGATGACAATCATTCATACTTGTCTACAACGATCTTGTAAGCATCATAAATATTCTAAAACACATGTATGTGTTGTTGATGAACATATGAGTACGGAAGATCATGATGATGATGATGATGATGATAACAACGAAATGGACAAAGAAATTGTAAGTATATCAAAAATAGAAGAGAAAAAACAAGCACTTTTAATCAAATTTATTCATCATTGAAAATTATAGGGTTATCATTTAAATCATGGGGAACATATGTATTTTGGCAATGGCTCTTCAAAACCATATTGGATGTCATCAGTGCCATATATATCAGAACATTTTCTTTAGAATAGTTTCTCTCGTAGTCTACATTTTATCCTTATACTTGCCACTATTTTTCCTTCTTCGTTGTCATGTTTCAGATTATCACCATTATCACAACGATTATTCTTCTATCAATATGATTAAATTATATTATGATTCCTTGAAAGGAACTTGGTTTGAATTTCCTTTTAGTTTCAATGAAACAAAAACTATCTATATTCCAGATACTTACACTTTTCATGAAATAAAAGACAGATTCGCACTTATTAGTCATAATTATACGAATGTGGTAGCATCGCTTATAAGTCAAACAAAGTCCAATGTACTAGAACCCATATGTATTTTTATGCTAATTGTTGCGATTGTCCTAGTCATCATTAAAGCCAAAATGATTGATATAAAACAACGTCGACTTTATCATGTTCATCGAGTGGAAAAAGAAATGGATTCATTCGATGATACTAATGTTACGTTTGAAGATATTGATAATGTTGATAAAGCAAAGGTTAGCGAAATCTCTTAACAATATTACTCTTTTTATTTTCATATTTTGGTATTATTTTATTTCTTTAGATTTCTTCTACCTTACATCATCATCAATAAAACTAACATGACCATTTGATCTTCTGTTTTTATTTAGTGTGTGTGTGTGTGTGTGTGTATTGGTCAACGTTTCAACTACTTTTTAAAGATTTTTTTCCTTTTATCTTAATTTTTCTTTCAGATATATTATACATAGTGACAATATTTATTAGGCAAATATAAACACAATTAAGACATACAAAACAATGCAAATTTCGACTGCAGATAGTGAATTGAATTCTAATGAATTTCATTCCATGCCACCTCGTCAACAACGATATCATCGTTACCGAAAACTATGCAATTCTCTTATGGAAAACTTTGTAAAATTAGATTGGACAAAGAAACAATTAAGAAAGAAAGGTTTACTTTTCATTTTAATACAACTCATCCAGAAAAAACTTGCAACTGAACAAATAAACGACAATTAAGTTTATTATTATCCATTTCGTTTTATTGTTTTTTCCTTCATGTAGCTGTAGTTGAAACATTTCTCATCTAGATTTATTTCTCTAGTTTCTCTATTAATCAAGATATTTATTTAAATATTATTCAATCTTTACATCTTATTTCTAGATATTATAAATCACTATTCTTCTCTCTTGTGACTATACACCGACACCTATTTATTCGCAAACAATGGTAATCAAAGAACAAAATGATGATAACAATAATAACTTGTTTGTTGATCAACTCTGTGAGTATAATGTAGACAATAAGAGTGAAATTCATCAAACAAATATCAATCGATCTCTCTCATCTCCTGTACAAGACCATTTGTTTTCTGTTCATGATTTCGAATGTGATTATATGGATGATGATGATGATGATGATGATAATGATAATGATAATGACATTAACAAAGGTGTAGATGATGATGATTATAATGAAGATGATTATATGGATTCTTTGAATTATATGGACGATGATATTTATTGCCTGAATTATGTTCATAAGAACTATCATTCTTTTGATAGTGACAACAACGTTAATAATGACACGAACGATACAAACACAGATGATGATACAGACGAATATTCTAGTGATTATAGTACAAGTATGGACATAATGATGTATTTAATGACAGATCCCTTCGGTGAGCTCGATATTTAATTAACAATTCAAGTCACCAAATTGCCTCCGAGTTTATTACTCTTAAAACAATAATAACATTTGTTTTTATGTATCAATATACTCTTTCATTTAGACACTTTGTCAACTAGAAAATAAAACATCGACGAAATATTCTATATATATATATATTACAGACATGAATAATTTTGGATCCTCTTTTGTTTGTTTTTTTATTCTAGATTTCTGAAATAGGTTGCGACAATCATATATTTATATATGTATATTATTAATCGAGAAGATCAACAAAGAAGAATATGTAATGGAAAAAAACATCTCAATAAAAAATCAACAAACTCGCAAAGTGAAATATTTCCAATCAACCATCAATTGATACACTACATTTATTTAAATTGCAAGTCGAACAGAACGTTTGAGGCTGTGCTGAAAAAATTCAATGTAAACGAATAAAATTGCTCGTCTTTTGTTATATCAATATTTCATTTATTTTCTTCTTCTGATTATTGTGTGAATAATTATGTACGTATCTTATTAATATTTAATTCATGCCGTTTTTTTTTGTTTCAGATTAGTACTAATCATGCAATCAAATCCTGTAACTACGATCAAAATGTATTATAATTCAATGACACGTTCATATTTTGAATTTCTAATAAGTTCTAATCAAACACACTTTTTGTCCTGTTCAGACAATTTCAAGATGTCCAACGTCAAAGAACATATTGCTCGTCTATATAAAAATTATAATGATAATAATGCGAATAATATTGGCATCATCACATCAATAGATAATGAGACGGTTTTTACAATCAATCATCCTATTTTAATAAGTGTTCTTATTCTATTATTACTTGTCATGATCATTTTGATTATTTATTTAAAACGGTATTCAATTTATCGTCAACAAAATCAAGAACACACGAATGATTCTTTGGATAATAATGAAAATATTTATGCCACTATTAATAAGAAATATAAGAAATCAGCCATATTATCATTTCACAATGAACCAAATAAGTAGATTCTAACTTAATTTACTCTTATCTAATCATAGTATTAATCCATAGGTATAGTTTGTATAATTATCATTTTTATCTTTTATTTCATTTCCATATTATCTTATCAAATAAATAGGACTGTATTTCTATTAATTGTTTATCTATTGTTTCTTTGGTTTTTTACATTTCGTTGACGTTTCGAATTAAACTTGTTGTTCTTTTGTATAATATCTTTGATATATCTATTCTAGATCTAGGATATTTAAACATCGTGGAAACAATAAACAATATCATCAATAAAATCATAGTAAGTTACCACTCTTTTTCGTTAGAATTAATATTTTTATGTTTTTATTTTATTGATATTAAGAAAATATTTGCACATTCTTCCACGAATCTCGTCGATACTATCAAAGACCATCTTTTATTTTTCAGATTAATTTTGTTCTATACAATCATGTTCACCACAAATGATGTATGTTCAAATAATGTAAATTAATCAAACTTTTCTTTCATATTTTTCATTACAATTCTATCGTCGATTCATTTCATTTTATATTCAGAGTCCGTTAGTGATTTCACTACAACATGACACTAATGGTAATCTTATGGAAGCCGACAGTGTCGAATCAGTATTAACTAGAAGTGATAACACAAATCAAACAAGCAATTCTTCTTCTTCTAATATAGTAAGGTTTATGTTCGATATTTTCTGTTGATGAATTTTTTTCGATTTATTAATAGATATCTAAGAATCAACAAACAATTACGAATCAATTACCTCTACTACGAGAACAATCATCAATATATAGTTTACAAGTAGAACCTGTACCAAACTCATCGACGACAAAACTATGCTTAATATCGAAATATGAAAGA